AAATAAATAAACTTATGAACTATATTTAAGTGTCAAAGCTCGAACACGTCACTCCAGCATAACAATGACAATATTTCAGAATCCAATAGCAGAGTTCAGGAGGCTACAAACGAAGATTAGAATTGAAGTGTTGAATACTTTACTTTATGTGTTATTCTTCCAGTAATAATTTGGAGAGTCATAATTTTCTGTAGATACGACTTGTAGTTATCCAATATATTGACTGTCAATCCAAACACACGTCTTAGTCACTACCACACGTGACAATACATATTATGAAGAAAGCAGTCTTCTGGGATTTGGCACCGTGTAGATGTGGTGTTAACCGACGTTTCGGAGGAACGTATCGCCTTAATCTTCAGGGTAGAAGGAAAAATATAAGAAATCCGCCGGCGAAGAGACCGTAAGAACCGGTACAAGCAGACTGGCGTTGGAAATATTTCCAATATTTCCTTCTACCTTGAAGATGGAGGCGATACGTTCCTCAGAAACGTCGGTTAACACCACATATACACGGTGCCAAATCCCAGAAGACTCCTTTCTTCATAGTCACCGCTGTGAAAACCTCAAATCTTACAATATATATTATGTTCTTCGCAACAATTTAATCATCAATTTGGACTTTTTATGCACAAGTGGAAAAGTTTTAGGTTCGAAACGTTTCAGAGTGACCGCCATTTGTAGCTCTGCATACGTCTCACTTACGATCCACCCATTACTAGACGCGGTGTGACGTGTTCTGTGACACCCTCATCTGATGCAGAGATCTGAGCTTTCAGTTCCTCCAGCTCATTCACTCTTTGGCTGTGCGTTTAGTCTTTGACAGGCCAAAATGAAAGAGATATATAAGAGGCGTGTGATAGGCAGAAGGAAGGAACCACGCAACTGGTTCTCCTGTTCCTCTCCATCGAGACAGGAAATTCATTTTCAGAATGTCAAGGGCAATGTGAAGGGGGGAGAAGCGCCCCACTCAGTCTCCGAATAAAGTTCTTATTGTTTATGTTGTGCTGTGGAAAAGCATAAAAGATAAAGGTAAATTTGTCCTGTACTCAACGAATTAGGCACTACGCCATGAAGGCGTATGGGCGAGTGGATGTATAGATCCATATTTTCTTGACCTTGGCACTAGTTGGAGGTGTGGTCAGCTTCACGGCCCGGCCGTTTTACCCCCTGGGGAAAGAGTCCCTGGTACACATTGGATAGGAGGTTGGGTGGGCCCCAGAGCCGGTCTGAACGATATGGAGAAGTGACATTTCTTGACCCTGCAGACACTCGAACTCCGACCCCTCAGACGTTCAGCCTGTAGCCAGATGAGCCGGGGTAGCACAATAGGTATAGAGACTATTTAAGGGGTTGGATTCCAGGGACTATTAAGAATTTTCTCTCCTCCACGTCGTCCATACCGGCTGTGGGGCCCTCCCAGGCTCCTATCCAATGTGTACCGGAGGTCTATTTCTTCCGGGGGTAAAGCGGCCGGGGTGTGAAGTTGACCACTCAACTCGAACTAGTTCCGAGGTCGACAAAAATTATATCTATACATCCTCTCCCCCCATACGCCTTCATGGCGTAGTGCTTAATTAGTTAAGCACAGGGACAACTTTCCCTTACCTTTCTTACTGATGAAGCGAAAGATATAATAAGAGCTGTTGTCTGTTAACCACAGCGACGATGCGCGCGCAGCTTGTTGCAGTGAAACTGTTTACGTTTACGTTTACACTGCCAGTTTCAACACCACCACATGCTTACGTTCCTGTATCGCAAGTGTTTGGAAACCTGGCTTGTAGGGAAAGCAAATGTATTGTAGCGTGTACCGTTACTGGGTAACGACCTCGAAACAAACAACGAAACAACATTCGCTACTAGGCAACGGGCACTTAATTAGAAGCCGTTACTGGGTAAAGCCTTCGCAACCAGAGACGATCCCACGGAAACGATTTAAGTATAAAAATGGAGAGTGTTTTCCATGCGGTTCGTGCCAAGATATTATAACCGAGACAAGTTTAGAAGTTGCGAGAGGAACCCCCTATGATGGCTGGGTAGAATACCTCCACCGTAGCCCTGCGAGTCGTAGGAGGCGACGAAAAGGGAACCCAGTGCCTGGGGGTATAACCGGGTCACCCTGTTCCTGGTGGGATATAAATACGGGGACCTGGCCCCAAGGTCGGGGGAGTCTCGAATCTGAGAGAGTAACATATGATCATGAGTCCTGCGGGACTAGGACCCGTAAATGACTGTGCTCGCGAGGACCAGCAGCAATTGTAAACGACAGACCCGTCTTCTCATTAGAGAGGATGTTACATAAGCATTGTAACCGCAAATGTTCTATTGAAAAATAAAATTACTGGTCGTGAGTCTCAAGTGATTTATCGCCAAGACGAACTGATTGGAGGTAAACTGCCAGTCGTAAAGTGACTCTGAGTTGTGAGAGAGTTGTAATAGAGTGACTTAAAATAGAGTGTAAGAGAATCTGCAAAGAGCAAACTCGGTCGGTGTTGTTGAAGATTCCCCACGGTTAGAAGCGTTTACCAGAAAACGACTTGTAAGAACTGCAGCAGATTGAAAATACTTAACGTGTGCTCTGGAGATCGTGGAGATTAGCAATGGAGCTATAATTAAATGTAGTCAAGTGTCTTGTGTTAAAATGGTCACTACATCCAATTTCCAACCCGAAAATCTGTCTATAGTAACCCATACACGTGACAGTATTCACTTCCCCTTTCTGTACAAATTAATAGCTTTAGTTAGTTCATTGTCCTAATCATGATTTGGCACTGAGCTAGAATGTTCAGCTCACTACATTCTGTCCATAAAATTAAAATTCCGGAAGCTTATCCTAAAACTCGACCCCATTTCGTTCCATTATGTCGGGGAAGTACTGGGGACGTGGGTCAAAGTGGTGGGAGTTTAAATTTCATAACAATGTGCAAAGCTGCCGATATTCTGATATCGAAAATTGGGCATGAATGTGATATCTGAAATCTGTTGGTAACAGTGAAGTTTGAAGGGAGGTTCATTAGGTTCATAATTGTATTACGTGAGTATTCAGAGTGTAATGAATGTGATTCAGATATCACGAGAAATGCTTCCGTGCGATGGATGTGCTATCTGTCCATTTTACTTGAATTCAATCAGTGACATTAAAATTGTTGGTTATTTTACAACTCTGTCTAGAACATAGTTTCGTATTATGGAATGAATGATGAACTGGAAAGAATTTGTAAGGAATCGGTCGCCGTTTAATCAAGAGAGTATTCCGCAGTTTCATTGGTGTGACCGAGAAAAACCAAGAAAAACTTCAGTTAATATAACCAATATCCGAACTGAGTATCGAACAAAGCATCTCCAAAAACGAATCTACAGCTTTACCACCATGGCAACCAGCTCGGAGACATTTAAATAAGAATTACATTATTATTTACAAGCGTTGAGTCTGGATGACGCAACAGATGGATGTATTCGCGTATTTATATAAGAGAAATTTATGGCTGGAACAATTCATTGACAGACTGACAGATAATTCTGAGTCCTTGGTTAATATGATGTATGTCAGCAGGAAAGGAGAATAAGGGCTAAATACATGCAGAAGTATCATGTAATCGGAATGTATTGGGGCGTGGAGGTATAATAATATGTAATATAAACTGGGCACTAGTTGTAGGCGAGACGTCAGTTTCACGCTTCAGCCGCTTTAGTGCTGGAGAAAGAGATCCGGTACCCTTGGAAAGAAGGCTTGGTGGACAACAGAGTTGCTATGGACATGAAGCCCCTTGCAGAGTAGATAATACAACGTTCATACAGCATGTATTCATTCATTCATCAGTAATCTGTCAGATGACAGGTCCACAGCCTCTTCCAAAACAGTTTCTCCACTTAATGCGATCTTCTGTTTTTGGAAAGAGACTATCCAGGAATAGTGATAATGTGGTAGTTTTTCCATTTGCTTTCCACATCGCAGTACAACAGCCGTTCAAACCACTCTGGTCACGCCTGTTGCTATACGAACTTGAACCATCTCGAGCATTATTTTCTCTGTGCTTCAAGTCGCCGCTGATGACGCTGCTTCCGGCATCAGTTTTCGGTGTCTCTCTTCGTCTGATGCCTACCCTTTGACCTGTCCAGCAAGGGAGGCCCTGCCAGTAGCTACGCTACCGCTGGTATAGCTCTCAGGGTCCTTGGCATACTCAAACACCCTCACCACGATAAGGTGGAGACTGAAGGTGGCGTAACTGAAATATATCACTTCGTGTTGTCACGTGATGGAGTGACTACTGACGGGGTTTTGGATTTTTAAACGGATTTATTGAACACTTTCACACACAACTCGCGACTACACTTTACATTCACAATTACACACACAAACACACTAGTGTTCTCAATCTCTTAAAGTTTTCACTAACCGTTGCTTAGCAGCGGCCTCAAACTGCGGACGTTCACCCTTTCCTCTGGGTTCCCGAACTTACCCTGCCTCAGCTAACAAATTCTAACAGCAACAGCCCACAACGCCTGACTGCCAGTTTTCAAAACTGTGTGTATACCAAAAAAAAAAAAAACGAAACTGCGTGGCATTTAGTCCACTAGCGAACTATACTGACCGAGACACCGACGCTTGTCGGCTAAGTTAGTGCCAACTTTAGCAGATAGAGGGTGTCGCGTGGTCAGCGCAACGGATCTCCACGGCCGTTAATCTCGGTTTTCTAGACCGGAGCCGCTATTTCCTTGAAATAGTTCCCCAATTATCCTCACGATGCTGAGTGGGCCTCGTTCCAGACCCACTACTTCTCAGAAAATCTGGTAGCGCCAGGAATCGAAGCCGGAACTTTGGGATCTGTAGCCACTCTGACCACTAGACCACAGAAGCGCTCTGTGTGTTTACACTAGTAAATTTTAAACAATTCACCACAAACATTTTGGGAAACCATAACGTAACATGTACAGATACGTTATATACTCATAAACAAACACGAACAATCAATCACAAGGTAGTATGGAAGGGTACTTACCTTGAACCGGGGACCGCTGTTACTACAGAGCCATCATGGTGAAGCCAGGTGACGTCAGGGGGCGGGGAGCCGTGAGCCGAGCAGCTCACCTGAGAGCCGGTAGCGTTGGAGAAGCTGAGAACCGGGGGTGGCTCTAGGAGGAACACGGGGCCGTGGATCCCATGCTGGCACTCAGCACCTGCGGACACATATCAACACATGAGGAGCGCTCTGCAGATGACAGGCACGTACAGACATACAATTCGAAACGAACGAATACAAGATAAATTAATGTACCTCTGTGACGTAGCAATAAAGTATCTGTCACTAGCGGGATACGTTTAGACTCTTGTTCCTGGAGCACGCAGGGCTCACCAACTCTCCACTCTGTCACCACACAGACAAAAATTCTACACTACATTCTTTTCGTCCGTTTTTCTTATACACTTATACGGGTGTCGAGGTTTTCTTTTATTATTTTAATCGTTTCACAGACAGTAGGGACTCCTTAGGCGAGTTATCAGCCCGTCGCAAACCGCTACCTAAACACAGGACAACACAAACACACACCAAACATCAATGCCCTGAGTTGGATTCGAACCCATATTCCCAGCTTCCGAGCCAGCGAAGACAGTTCATGCCCTAGACCGCTCGGCTACGGTGACCAGCCTACACTAAATTTCTCTACAAATTGGACTGAGCTTACCTCGCCCGTTATAATTACGGACTATAATTTCTTGTACTCTGTCCGTATATCTGGAAGTTGAAATACGTCAATGTCACGTCTATAAAGGCCCCCATATTATGTGTCTAAAATGGGAGAGGGTAACCTTGAGTTAGACAGAGCTCAAGGGCCGCGCCATAGCTCAAGCGGTTAGTCGCTGGCTTCTCACCGCGGCGGCCCGGGTTCGATCCCGGGTCTGGTCAAGTGGGATTTGTGGTGGACAAAGTGGCGCTGGGGCAGGTTTTCTCCGAGTACTTCGGTTTCCCCTGCCAATCTTCATTCCACCAATTGCTCCACAATCACCCTCACCTACCATCTGGGGCTGGTACAATAGGCCAGAAGTGACCGCAGCACAAGAGACTTAGTCCCACCCCACTAGCCATAAAAGAAATAGACACAGCCCATAATATGCTGGAAACTTCCTGATCATGACGTCACTATATGCTGACGAATCAAACTCGAAAATAGTTTACGCTCGCACTACCGTCGCTAGTCATACTACGAGGAAAGTTTAGTAAATATGTCATAAATGGAAGTGAAACAGATGTAATGGACGTAATAGGTTCTCTATATGCATAACTATGCAGCAACAGAGTCCAGCTTTATGACAGTCTACGTAGCAGACGAGCATATTCATATTCAGATGTTAGTTTCAGTAGTCAAAATGGCGACCGTGTTTAAGGTGTACACCACACTACACGCTCGATTTTTGTGGACAAAAGGAATCACTGCAAAGGATATTCATAAAGAAATATTTCCTGTTTAGGTGGGAAGTGTTTGTCACGTAAAGCGGTTCACAAATTGTTCGAGAAATTCCCTCAAGGACGTTCGAAAGTCGCAGATGACACCCTATCAGGTGTGGGAGTGGCTGAGGCAATAGTCAAAAGACTCTATCCCCGTGTTTCGACGAACTGGTAAAGCGATGGGGCAGGTGTATCAATGTTGATGGAGGATATGTCGAGAAATAAATATATTTAGTACGTTCGAATATAACATGTTTTACGTTTCTTATCCATTTGTGACACACTTACTGACTCTCCCTCGTAAAATGTTGCCACCCAGAAACGTAGATACATATTTCGTAACATCCGTAAGTACACTGAGACTGTAACCCGGATATTAATCTAGTTCTGCAACCCGATAAAATGTAATATTTCCTCTTTATTTCCCAGAAAAATTGCGGATATTCACCGACGGAAAAGCACGAAATAGACCCGTCCGATTACCTTAAGAAATCAAACCAACTTACAAAGTAAAGCTGGAATTTAACTCCCACTGACAAAGAGGAATAAATGTAAAATATATTAATAATATTATAATGAGCATGCTGTTGCATTGAGGTGTCACTTATAGCCTATTCTTTCCATATATAATGCAACAAATTAATAACACTGATTCACATTCAATCCATACGGTGATCGTTAAATGTATAAAACGTTATTAAAATTATTATAATATTAAAAAATGCATTAACCACAATGCTACATGTTTCGGCCATATAAGGCCATTTTCGAGCACTACTTTTATACGGAGACTAAAGCACAGTTACACCTTTTCTGTTTCCTTCATATCATTATTGCGCTGCGGCTGTTTCTGTGTTTCCTTGGTGTATTGTTTTCTTAATTGTGCTTATCAAGTGTCCCTTTACTTTCTCCCTATTCATACAATTTTAATATTAATAACATTTTGTACATTACGTACGTGTATATTTAACGATCATTGTATGGAGTAAATGGACCGCCTCTGTGGTCTAGTGGTCAGAGTTCCTGGCTACAGATCCAGATGTTCTGTGTTCGATTCTCGGCGCTACCAGATTTTCTGAGAAGCAGTGGGTCTGGAACGGGGTCCACTCAGCCTCGTGAGGAGGTATTTCAAGGGGATAGCGGCTCCGGTCTAGAAAACCGAGATTAACGGCCGTGGGAATCCGTTGCGCTGACCACGTGACACCCTCTATCCGCTAAAGTTGGCACTAACTTCGACGGCAAGCGGCGGTCGCTCGGTCGGTATAGTTCGCTTGCGGGCTACAGGTCACGTAGTTTTTTCTGTATTGATTAAATGTAAATCAGTGTCATTAATGTGTTGCATTATAGATGGAAATAATATACTATAAGTGTACTACATGAAGGTTAAGAGCTTAAATATATATGAGATTTCAGAATAAATAAAACATTTGCTATAGTAACAAACGTTGCAGAATATAGGATTTAGATGTATGTCAATATTATGCTCCTTTCTTTGTGAAGTTGTGCCGCATCAGATCTCAGTCTTTAACTTTATCTATATTTTTACATACTTACATATTTCAACAAATTTTTTCCTTAGAGTTTCAATATATTTGGCTGATTTATGTGCATATCAACTGATGATGACCGTTTAAGAATGAAACACGCCGTGCATAATAAGAGATAAAAAACAAAAACGTGATTAATGCAAGTTCTCATGACGGCCACTCTTATGATTTACAAATTTACTGCTCAGCTTCTAGTGGAGAATTCATGACAGGGAGTTCGGAAGAATATTATCGAATAAATTAAAACACCTTACGATTTCAGCCTTTCACAGCGGTGATTCTGAAGCGTTCTATTCCCTTTAATAAAATGCCGTGTAGTCCGTAGAAAGCCAACGAACGTTTCTGAAGAAAATATCACCTCCATCATCACGACTACTAGTGGCTGCTACATACGAGTTTCCTGATTACCTTGCTCGTCGACCCTGAAGATGAAGATCATATGTTCCTCAGAAACGTCCTTTGACTTTCAACGGACTAAACAGTGCCATATCCTAATAGATAGAAAACCCTTCAAATTGAAATATTTTTTTCCTACTTGTGGGTCTCTTTTTCTGACTCGATATGGACGAGGGAAAGAGTGAATTTGTTGAGCCCTGAACATAAGAGCTTCTTTTCATAGCATACATGTGTACGTTTCAACCATGACAATCCTCTTGTTCGGAGCAGAGATTCACAACGCTCTCTGATCAACCGTCACGTGATACTGCATAGGGGTTTCCCCCAAGGAGAGGCAGTCTATACGTCCCGCATTGTACAACGCAAATAAGAGTTTACAGATTTAATTACTACAGCATCTAAACGTGTATATTTACATCATAAAGAAGCATTTATATGGTATTAAAACTGAAGACACAAAAAAAAATCACTTCTATGATTAAAAATTAGATTGAAGCTGTATGAATTCAATGACCAGAAGTTTCTGGTATGAGTATGAAGAGCATATTTCGTTTCCAGATTAAATTAAGTTGCTCTGAACGTTTTATATTTCACGGACCGATAAAGCTCGAGCATTTTCCCGAGGGTTCATATCATACATTCTACACTAGAAATAATAATCCACAAACAAACTCCGTGGTTCTAGTCCGCAAGCGAACTATACCGACTGAGCGACCGTCGCTTGTCGGCGAAGTTAGCGCCAAATTTATCTGATAGAGGGTGTCACGTGGTCAGCGCAACAAATCCCCACGGCCGTTATTTCCGGTTTTCTAGACCGGAGTCGCTACTTTTCCAGTCAAGTAGCTCCTCAGTTATCCTCATGAGGCTGAGAGGACCCCGTTCCAGACCCACTGCTTCTCAGAAAATCTGGTAGCGCCGGGAACCGAACCCGGACCTCTGGATCTGTAGCCAGGAAATCTGACCAATAGACAACAGAGAGACTTAATTAATTTTAACACATCTAACCACGTTTATTTACTACATAAAATCTGTCTTTATGTGATACAATATCGAAGAGACGTCATAGACACCCGTATGGAATATTCGCAGTTAAATTATGCAGGGGAACATGTGTACATTTATTGACGTCAGATTTATCCTACCTGAAAAAATTATCACGTGATTGGGTGTGACTACAGACGGGGTTTTGGATTGACTATCGATTTATTGGCCTCTTTCATGGAGCGTGTGACTACACTTTACAATTCACTATCACACACACAGATTAGTGTCCACAGTCATGTTTTCACTTCCGTTGCTCGGTAACGGCTTACAACGGCGGAAGTTCCCCTTATTATGTGTTCCCGAATTGTCCCCGTACCTCAGCTACTAGATTCTAATAACAAAAGCTCACAATGACTGAACCTCAGAAGTTCTCTCCCTAAATGACTCAGTCACTGACCAAGTAACTCAGCTCAACTCAACTGACTCTCACTAAATTATAACATCTCGACACGGGAATCACAGAAAACACCGTTCCTCTGTTGATGTTTGCGGGCCGTTTTCTAGTTGTTGGTTTCGCGGCCGTTGCCAAGCAACGGGTCTACATGACATAAAACTGCATCTTTAATAATAAAATTTCAGGGTATAGATTACCAGGGACGATTTCTTCGGGGGTACAGCGGCCAGGGCGTGAGGCTGACCACTCAAATTCATCTACTACCGAGGTCAAGAGAGGTGGAGGAATACTTCCACTCTCCCCATACGTCTTCATGGTATGGTGCTTAATTAATTAAGCACAGGGACAACT